GTCACAATATGCTATTAAAAAGTTTGTGATTGGATTTGGAAAATCAGATGGGTCTCCAAGGGAAAGAGATCATTTTGGCGCCATCGCACTTGAATATTTTTGAGCCCCAGAGCACGTATTTATAAGTAGAGTTGTTTTTGTCTTAAATCCAGATTCTGGCTGATGTGTATCAAGGAAGCCACTTTTCATGGCAGACCTGAAGTCCTGAAACATCCATGATGTCACCTTTCTCTACTGATCTGCCTACCAGTACACGGCGGCGCGCTATTAGCTCTGTAATGTTTTAGCTTAATTCTCCCACATGTGGGCTGCAATTCCAGCCAAAACAAACTCAGCAGGAGATTTCACAGCCACTGAATTGCTCAAGGTGCTCCAGGCTCCATGACATGGGGAGATCAGGTTGGGATGCAAAAGTTATGAACAAAAAGATAAACAGAATGAAAAGGCATGGGGTGGTGGGATTTAGGGTTTGACTGGTGTGCAAAGCTTTCAGTTTTCCAATTGGTAATTTGATTCTCTGGTTTGCCTTGGAGATTTGCAGTGTTTTTCTGGCATATGTGATGGAAGAAAGCACCCTGTTCCATTCCGGGTAGTGAACCATGGAGACCTTCTCATTAAATTACAAAGAAGAATTTTAGGATATGAGATCATGAAAAAGAATAGAATTTGAAAACACACACAAACACATAACTAGGCCAGCACAGGAAGAATTTGTGGTGAAGCCATTTTTCCCATTGCAGATAACTCTCTAATCCTTTGGATCCCAGAGTCCTGCACACACACGTGCACGTGCACACACATGCACATGTGCACACACACACACACAGTGTGAAGAGAAGGGTCTACAGCTGTCACTATAAAGCCAGGCTGCACCATAGGTTGAACCAAGAAGGTCTAGTGACATTCAGTTAGTGATCCTTACCTCTCAGTATATGATCTTGAAGCTCTTCATTTGAGATCATTCTGTCTAGCTCTTTTCTCCCTATCACCCTCATAACATAACCCTCACCCCCAGGCCTTCAGAATTGAAAAAACAATAAGTCTGAGTAATCACACCATGAGACTATTTATGATTATTAGGGGGAAAGGAGGTGGGGATTAAAGTGCTGTGCCAATTAAAAGCAACAATTCTTGCTGCTTCTCCCAAATTCTTCACAAAAGTCATATGGATGATGGGACATTTCTGAGTTTACCCCAGCCAAACTCTGAGATGGAAAAGTATTTGTTTTGTATGGGCAAAGCTATTTGTTCTTTTTTTCTTCTTTCTCTCTCTCCACTGTGGGAAAACGAATTTATTTTCAGTCACCCCTGACATCTGACCACTCAGCTGATCACAAGGACACTGTGGTAAGCCACAACTCAACTTGAAATTATCTCTTAGGCACAGTTCCTGTACTTTGGATGGCACCATCTCTAGCTCTCAGCTTGGCTTTCCTCTATGAAGGTTCCATTTTCCCTTTCTTTTCTCTACTCAGAGTGAGTGGTCTTGCGCTTATCTTCCAACCGGGCTTGTCCTCAAAACAAACTAAGCATGAAAATGACACCAGTTTTCCTAGTCAAAGCCTCAAAAGTGGCCCATTTATATATGGTATCTTTCTTCTAAAACAAAAGGAAAAAGAAAACGAGATGAAATCTTTGGAATCCTGCAAAGTAGGTGGGGGAGCCAACTCTCTTGATTAGTCTCAAGATGATTCAGCAGGGTTTATACATATTCCTTCTGTTTGAATCATTTTGTTTTTGTAGCTGTTTTACACCTCCAGGATCCTGCCATCTGCCCACTCTAAAGAAAGACAGTAAAGCACTCCAAATACAATGGCTGGGAGGAAAAAATTGTGATCAAACTCAAGAGATCAACTTTTCTTCACCCTTCTGGCTACTACTATTCTTCCTGGAGAAAAGACAATGTGGTGTGGCCCAGAGGTTCTTACTGTGGTGGGCTCACCTCTCAATAAACCATTCCTCTTCTGCCCTGTCATGCCATCAGGCTAATGAGAGAGAACTTGGTGTACAGATCTGTCTGCCCTCTTGGCTGAGGAAAGAAGAGAAGGGATGTAGGCAGTGCCCTTGACAGTTATATCCTACTCAGATCTGGTGTGTGTCACTGAAATATAGGTCAGCTTTTGCTGGACAACTCACAACAGCCTAGAAGCATGTGGACCCCAGGCCAGGCCCAGTTCCTCCTGCTCACCCCATACTCTCTTCCTGCCCAGTACAAGTTAACAAGCCCAACAAGCATTGAGAGAGGCCTGCAGGACAGAAAAAAGCAGTCTTTCCATTTTGCACACAAATGTAAGGGAGCTCTAAAGTTAACAAAGGCTTCATCAGTCCTGGGGTTGGTCCAATGTGCGGGCTGAAGTTCAGCTGGCCTGACCAAAGGCAACTGCTAGCTATTTGCACTTTCCGCAGGGACTGCTCCTCAACTCCTGATTTAGAGAGTGGAGTGGACGGGTAATGTGCATGTAGTCACTGAGGACGATTGGAGAAACAAAATGATTTTCAATTACCAGGTGGTTCAGGTGGAGGCAGTGAGCATAGAAAGTTTTCTTTCTGACAACAAAATGAAGCGACAGCTGAAGAGCTTCTGGCCTTGAAGAGAGTTTATCACTTTAAAGGGATATTGGCAAGTGCTTAGGGCTGAACACTAAGGTTTGGTTACTTCCCTTTCCCTCACAGTTCATAGAGAGATAAAGGTATTATATGAATTGGATTTTTTCTTGTGAGTTAAAAAAACTGATGCCCTGATTTGGGGTAACAAGCATGGCCAAGTTAGTACTGAGCAGAGAGAAAGTACTAGTCTAAGGCTTTGCCTTTGCAGAAATGCAAAAAAAATGCTCACAAAAAAACATGTTCTATTGATTGTCCAAGGGTACCAAACTATGCATTCTCAAAATGGAACTGAAGACTTCCAGGTTTCAGTATCTAATTGTCTTCTGACTAAAACAATGAAAACAAAGTGGAAGAGCAGAGGATGTTGTTTCAGGTAGAGTTTAGAAAGCAAGCAGAACTTCAAGGAGAACCTGATTGTCTTTACTTAGGCTGAATGCCTTGGCAATAATCTTATAAATGAGTTTATCATTTTTTCCCACCATATAAGTTAAACTTAGTGAGTATCTGTTATGTCCCTGGCACTGTGCAAAGCCTTTTTTTACACATTATATAATTTAGCCCTCCTAAGAACCTTAGAGGGTAGGTGTTGTTACCACTATTTTACTTATGAGACCTAAAAGATTTTGTTTGAGGAGTAAGTTAGAACTGGAATTCAAACTCAGCTTTCCTGACTCCCTTTTAAGTTTCACAACCATTCAGCTGCCTTTTATAAGTAGCATTTTATTTTATATATTCATACAATTGTAAAGTATAAGAAAAGCTATATGCTAAAACAAAAGTTTCTTTAAATTACCTACTTACAATGTTTTGCCCACACTTGAAGGCTATAAAATGTATCTGGATTGGTCATAAAATATTATCCACCATCTAATGAAATAGTACATGTGTTCATGAGTAAACTCTCTATAAGAAAGACATATAACTGGATTAAAGTATGACCTAGTACTTAAAATGCATTAGAATTTCCAAACATAAAATTATCTGGGCTTTGTAAGGAGAAAATATTGGCTTCAAAACTCAGAAAGTTAGAGATATTAACAAATAGATGATTCAACGCTAAATGCACATTGACAAGGCAAGAAGAGAGAAGTTACTTCAGTCAGCTTCTTAACTGTAGGGGTTGGATGCCAACATTTCTTCAAACAGAGGAAAAGGTCATAGTGTTATCTTTTCTCTCTTTTTTTGCCTTTTCTGTTTGAAAAAGGAAAGATTGGAGGTTAAGAGAAATAAGGTAAAAGATTTAGGACTATAGAGATGAAAAAGGTACTGCACTGTTCCACAAGGATCCCATGGTCTAGGAAGAGAAGCAGACATAGACCCAAAACAAGATGAGCAATGAAAGAACAGGAATATTTGAGGCCCAAAACAGAGTACAGAAGGAAGTGATTACCCAGAGAGACAGTAAGAAGGAAAGGGCCAGGAAAACTCTCCAAAAGGAGGAAAACTTGAATTTAAAAACTGACCAAACGACTAATGGAAGAAATGAAGTCTATACAAAATCACAGAACATAAAATGGGCTGACATTTTGGGGCCTAAGAGGAATCTGATATATTGGAGGACAGCAGGAAGGAACGCATGTAGAGAAATGAACTAGTGAAGTCCTGAAGAGTTAGAGCTCACATGTAGTGTGGAGCCACTGACCAGTTTTAAAAGTAGATTTGAGTTTCCAAAAAATTACTCTTGCTGTCAATCATGAATAGTTGGTAATCTGATTGACGAAAGGAAAGCTGGTTGTTTCAAAAAAGTCATTGAATAGACAAACTCTTGGCATGATTGATGCTTTTAAGAGGCAGAAATAAACAGCACAGGTAGAAAAAGTGACATTGAAACAGACAAAGTAAATATTTTAAAATTACAGGAGAGTCACATGCACAATATTAGGACAATATATTTGAAATTTTCACCACATTGAACAATTTTTAGAAAGCATAAATATGGATATTAACTGAAGAAAAAATATTGACAATGAGAAGTATGCTACAAAGTAATACTAGCTCCAGAAGATTTTGCAGACAATTTTTTCCAAAAATTGTCTTTCCAAAGGAAAGAAATATTAATCCTTAATATCACAGGGAATAGAAAAGTGTTTTACAAGTATTTACAGACCATTGTAATCCTGATGCCAGAGCCAGGTGACAATCAATCTTACATATGGACAGAGATGCAAAAATACCAAATATTAGAAAGTTACTGTGTATATAAATATCATAAAATAAATCTTTCATGGCATCCAAGAATTGTTTAACATTTAAAAATCAATTTTAAGTTATCACATTGACATATTACATAGATTAGAAAACATCATTGATTTTCTACATCTATTCATGATTAAAAAATAAAAACTTTGCCAACTAATTTGAATCACTGCTCCGTGGCTTTTTTTTTTTTTCAGGTAAAAAATAATCTATGCTTTGTATGAGAAAGAAAAAATATCTTAGAGGAGAAATGAGAGTGGAAGCACTGAAAATGATGAGAAGGGCATAGTTGCAAATCCAGGTATAATATTAAAGATGTCAAAAACTGGGGTGGGGGGATCCCCAATGATAGACACAAAGGAGAGGGCAGATTTCAACAACAGTGAAGAGGAAAGGTTGACAGAGACTGGTGATTGATGGGATGTGGGACAAGGGTTGTAATGAAGAAAAAGAAGTCTATTGTGACTCTCAGATTTCTGGACTAGGTAGCTGGGTGGATGGCAATTCAGTTAACCAAAACAGAAAAAAAAGTTTAAAGATCTGTCTGAAATTAGCTAGGGACTCTTGCAAGAGGGGTGAAATAATGATTTTAAAAACCAAGTGCCAGTAGCCTGAAAAAGAGCTTTTGCCATCACCAGATTTCAATTAATATAGAGAGAAAGAGGGGCAATGGGGGCAATGGGAACATTATAGGCTTTGAAAGCACAAACTAGCACTGGCCTGGCAGTCACCGCTTGATAAATGTTTACTGAACTAGCCCAAAGCTACCAACAGTTTACTCAATGTTAAAGAAAATTATCTTGGAAGTACTATGTGTGGAAAATATACACTTAAATAGTACCTAATAATAGTCACATTAGTGATAACAATTTTTAAAACTTTAAAACAGGAAAGGGAGAAATGTTTCTCATCTTACATCTTGCTCTTTCACACATTGTTATATATTAATACACAGTTATATTTTTGCATCAAATGATTGGCTTTATTCACAAAAGATTTAATTTTTATGTAAAATAGCAAAGTGAAATATTTTGGTCCTTGATGATCCCTATGTGCCCACAATATTGCATCCACAGGCAGGCAGCTACAGAATTATCTTTATCCAAATCACCATTGTCTTTAACCAAATCACCATTTTATTAGGTATATGCAAAGTGTCAAGAAAGTCATTGGCTAAACATTTCCATCCAGTCTGCAAAAACAATGGACACAACTGCTGAGCATGGAAGGTCCCTTCCAAAGCTGCAATACCCACTGGATGGAGCACCAGGCAGCTACCAAAACATTTTGTTGGTAACAAAACCAGTCTTCTCCAAGATGGTTGAAAATGATGATAATGTCATTTGGCTTTAAGGAAATACATTCAGGCATGAGTTGAGTAGAGTGCTGGAAAAGTATGAGTGATCTGTCTTGAGTTCAGGGAACTGTTTCATACCTGCCTAATGCTTACATTTCAACCTTTGGGACCTCAGAGTTCAGATGGCATTTCTCCATACCAAACTCAGATCAGAGGGAGAATGTACTAGAACCCTTTGCCAGGAGCAATCTCCTGCTGATCCAATCCAAGTCGCAAGATCCACAGCAGGACAAGGGAACTTTTGAAAGGGACTTGAAAAGAGTCCAGTTACTCTGTGGTTAACCCATCAAAGGCATCTTCCTGTAACACAGAGGATAGCAGGCCTCGACATGTGCTGGCCATTTGGAAAACAGATTCATACAGAGCAGATCAAACATTTCGGGAGAGCCCCTTGCCTTGAAAAGATAGAGCCTTATGAAAATCATTAAGCCATTCATTGATATTTATTTGCTTACACTGAGCTTCACCAAAGCAAGCAAGAAAATGAGGATGAGAACCATTGACCCAGTTTCAGAGACCCTAGTTCAGAAAAGAAGGATTCCCTTACATGCCTGATTTTAAAGAGCCTTTTAAGAGGACATCCTACCACACAGCTGGCATAGGAAGGCTGTCTTGGCTCCCCTCAACTGTGTATTAGGTTAACAGCCATCTCAAGCTTCTTAGAAACCTAGAAATCCCCAGGCAGTTAGAGAAATTCCATAGAGCTAGGAAAACACTTGCAATCTCAGAGCTTTAAGCAGGAACAATATTTCCAAACATCTTCCTTTCTCAGTCTTTGTGTAACTTACTCCCATCCTCGTAAAAGACATGTAGCTCCACAGCCGGCCCAACAGTCTGTCCTTCCTAATGAGCCCAAAGTCTCAATTCATGGCTCAGGTCCCATGGACTTGAAATGAACAAGGAGCAAGCCCATATTTTCACTTTGGGAGTTACCAGATTTTTGTGCATGAGTTCCTTGTAAATCAAACTAATTCCATCCTCAGATGGAAGGGAATTTTTCTTGCTTTGAAGTTTAGCCCCTCAGAATTCATAACCCCCTGGCCTCAACTTCCCCTTTACTCAGATGCAAAATTCCTGTGATCAGAGAAGAGTTCAGGAGAGTGCCATCATCCTCACACTCTGGGCTTTCAAGTGATGCTCTTGTCTCATTTGTGCTGTAGGCGGTGCCCATGCACAGCCTCTGAAGCTCAGAGCCCAGGAGTGAGGGAAGAGGGTGGCTCTAGGGAATTGAGCCCAATGACTCCCAGAATGTTACAGAGGTTGCAAATCTGTCCTCAAATATTCAACACATATGTTCTGAAATTCATTAAGTTCTAAAATTAAAAAACAAATTTAAAAAAATCCAGCATTGGTTCTTGTACAAAGCAGACACAAGGAATGCTTGTTGACTTATTGAATTTGTTAGCTGATAAATATGAGAAATACAGTCTGGTTTGTACCACAAGACAGTAGAAGTTATAAGGATAACATTTGTCCTCAGTTTGCCACTATATAAGTTTTAGAAAATGAATTACCCAGACCCTGCCTGTGTTCAGAGCACAACCTTCTTCACAAAGCCAAATTTTCTCCTTTATTATTTTGAGGGGAAAACTGTCACATGGCTTTGAATTGTCAATTAAGTTTTTGTTATCGCCACAACTACATAATCCTCAAAGGGAAGAATTCTCTCATATTATTCGTTTATTTATTTTGAGGCCGGGAAATGTAACTCTTGATGTAACATAGATTCTTGCACAAAGATGATCCTAAGTAATTGTTAACTGATTTATTCATTGGTAGGTATTAATACAGTCTTATTTGTACCCTATGACAACTAAGCTTGCAATACACAAAGAACATCATTTTCTGGTACTTTTTTATAAGTCCCTATTTAGAAGAAAGTTTATCTTAGTCTTTTCTGTGACTTTGTGTTGGCTTTGGAAAACAGTATTTAAGAGGGAATAATGTAATAAAATAAGATAGTAAGTATGTACTATTACTATAAAAATTACAACACTACTGTGACTTTTCCTGTTGCTTGACAGGGTTGTTGATTAAATTCTAATAGACGTCATGACAGTCATTTTTATAAGAGATGGAGGAATTTTGGTTATGATAGTTCCTTTGTAGATGAGGTGATTAGGCATTTTAGAGTACAATTGTTCCTCCCCCCGCTTATCCACAGTTTATCTTTCTGTCATTTCAATTACTCATGGTCAACTTGGGTTCAAAAATATTAATATTTGTCTTAATGAGAGAGTGGGAGACTATATTCACATAACTTTTAGTACAGTATATTGTTATAATTGTTCTATTTTATTATTAATTATTGTTGCTAAGCTCTTGCTATACTTAATTTATAAACTAAACTTTATCATACCTATAGATCCAGGGTAAAAGTTATATATAGAATTTGGTATTATTTACAGTTCCAGGCATCTACTGGGGGGTTTCTAAGGTATCTCCTGCAGATAAAGGGGATTCCTACACAAGATCTAGCCTATGACATTTTTGTATTGAAAGGATGAAAGGAAAGAAAGAAAGAGTAGGAAAAAAGTAAAGGAAGAGAAAGTGAACAAGAGAGAAAGAGGAAGAAAGGGGAGGGGAGGGGATGGGATGGGAGAAGGAAGAGGAAGCCATAAGAGGAGAGAAGAGGGGGGAAAGGGTGGGAAGGAGAGAGAAGATGAAAAAAATAAAAGAAACTTAAAATATCTAATAAATGATTCATATACTTGCTAACTACAGACTTGTACACTTAACAAATGTGTCAATACAAAGCTTTAAAGAAAAAAATACCAGCTGCCATTTGGTGCTGCACACCTGTAATCTCAGCATTCTGGAAGAGTAAGACAGGTGGATCACAGTTCAAGTCCGGCCTGAGACTGTGTCCCAAGAAGGAAAAAAGGGGCTGAGGATGTAGCTTAGAGATAAGGCCCTGGGTTCAATCCCCAGTGCCAACAAAGAGAAAGATACCATACCCAGAAAAGCAATTTGAGGAGATTTCCCTCATAAGGTTTTATTATTATCAGTAATCATTTTGCCCAAATCCATCTCATTTCCAAGCATAGGAAAAACCCAGTCTTTCTAAATTTTAGAACTTCTAAGTAAGTCTTGAGCTTAGTGGGGCCTGCAGTGGGAATGTTCCTCAGGAAGGAAGCCTGGGAGATGGGCCTTTGCACATGCTTGGACTTCCCAGAGTCAGACCAGTTGCTCCCAGCACAGCCCACCTGACTCCTCACAGTGGCGTCTGCAGGCCTCATCTGGTTTAATCCCTCCATCCACACAGGGCCCCTGCTGCATTTGCTGGACCACAGTCGATGCTGTATAAATGAGGAACTGTATCAGTCCTGTGAAATAACAACACAGTGCAAGAGCACAGTGCTGATGTAATGTTCAAAGAAACTGAAGGGTGAAGAGAAGAAATCATTCATTTGAGCTGTTGGTAGAGCTGGGACCTGAATAGACACTTCTGACTCACTCTGTGCTGAGCAGTCATTTGCCCGGGTACCACTCTCCTCCTTCTATCTGGGGGGACTTTCAAGGGCAGCCTTTCTTTTCCCTGGTAAGTTAAAAAAAACTTTTTCAATCATTTGATAATTACCTAAAAAGAAGCCTAAGCCATCAAGGCCTATAAAATAGTGTTTCCCTGTGATCTGTTTTCTAAATCAGGAAATAGTTACTTAGGCCCCTATAAAGCTAGCTCAGAACTCTGCCTCCTCCTCCTCTATCCAGATTTCCTTGACTTGGAAAGTGCTTTCTATGACAAGAAGTACACAAGCTGCCAGACCACTGCCTCTTTCATAAAGGAGAAAGGGCCTTTTCTTTTTCCTATTGATGTAAAGAATTTTTTTAATTGGTACATTTTAGATGTACATAGTGATCACATTCATCATAGGAAATTTGTACCTTTACATAGTGTATCTTGATTATTCTTTTTTTCCTCTATTCCCCTCCCTTTCTTTCAACCCCACCTCCACTCATTTTTTACAAAAGTTTTGATTCCACTTTTTGTTCTAATCTTTTTCTCCTTTTCTCTTCCTTCTTTTCCTCCATCCCCTCCCTTGCATTCTCCTTCTCATTTGAATATTTTCTTTCCATTTTCCAATATCTATTGTACATTTTGGACCTTATTTACCCTTTCATTTCTCACACCAGAGCAACAATGAAATATTTAAATATGTGTGTCTGATTTATTTCATTAAGAGTATGGTCTCAAGGTGCATCTATTTACCTATAAATATCTCAAGTTTAACCTTCTATATGGCAGAATGGTATTCCATTGTATAAAAAACCCACATCTTTTTTTTTTCTTAAATTCTTTTATTGGTACATTGTAGGTATACAACACAATTACATTTCTCATTGGGAACTTGTACCTTTACATGATGCATCTAGGTTCTTATTTTTTCCCCATTCCTAGCCCTCCCTTCACCCCCTCCACCCTTC